ATCTACAAAAAGCATTTACAGAAGTTCAAAAGTTTAAAATACGGTATTGAAATATAAAATCAGCACAACGTTTTTTTTTGTAAATAGAGATTAATGCAAATGTGATTATGAAACAAATTTTCTTTATTCTTTATTTTATTAATTTTCAATCTCTAAAGCATTAAGTAAGAAAACTTTCAATTTGAATAATTCTTTTATCCTTGTAAACATAAAAGAAATATTAAAAGTATGTATATAAGTTATAGGAAATAAAATTTATTGTAAAATTATGTAAATATACAAATATCTTTTATAATGAAATAACATTAGTGTTAGGACCAAATCTTATTCCTTCATTTATCAATTTTTAATTATTTTCGATTAAATAAAAAAGCACTTCTTGTTTAAAAAATGTCAACATGAAATAAAACACATCAGTAATTTATATACAAATAATAGGTGGCGTGTGTATGTGCAGAATCCTTAAAAATGAATCAAGTTGCCCTTGATTGGAAACTTGTAAATGCTGCTATCTTAACAAAATCCTCATCTGAAAGCTTGTAAGATCATCCAGTAGCAGTTATTGATTTTGGAGGTGAAATGTCACATAAAACTTTACTTAGTGGTACAAAGCAAATGTCATTCCTTGAAGGCCAGTTAAAATGCTTTCCTCGGACCATGTGGATATAAAAATTGGATTTCAATATCACCATGTTCTACACTAATCATCTTAACTACGCCAATCCATCAAACAGAATCATAAACACAGATTACATATGAAGATACATTTGATACAATCATGTTTCATTCATACTTGCAAAAGTCAAATGTATGTATCACATCTTCAACTTGTGAGAAATTTTTTATCATTGACATTGGAATGAAATGATGACTGCTTCTTGTTCCAGGAACAGTCTTATACATTTCAAAGTATTCTGTCAGTTGATCTTGAAAAATCAACATATGAGACTGCTCAATGTCAAAAACTTGAATCCTGGGAAGATCTATCCTGCAAACAATTCCTTATAATCAAAGATTTGATCCCTTAATGACATCTGTAAACTTTTTTTGGCAACATGTCTCTTGACAAAACCTCCAATTCCATCACATGGTGACTTACCATGACTTGTTGCAGAGAAAACCAACTCAGCATCAAGTTGGAAATACTGCTTATAATGACATAAATTAATGTAATTTTTGTATTGACCAGCACAACCATTGGAAAAATAATATAGTTTTTCAATACCAGGATACTTGGCAATATATTTGGTTGTCAATCTTTGTACTTCATAAACAAAAGCTGTGTCATGGTTGTTATCAACTGAAACAAAGCACAGAGACTCATGGAAGATAATACTATGACTGTTAATGAGATAAATGATTACTGGATGTATAGTGTGATACATTATTATTCCAATGATACTCTTGAACTTCATCATGAATTATAAATTGATAGTTTTCTGCAAAATTGCCTAGAATAATGGCTTCATTCTTGCTAAATTTTCTTTCTTCATTTTTAGGTATTTAGCCTGACATTTTGTTACATATTTAGTTAAAGCATCAATTGCCTCAACTAGAATCTATTTGTATTCCTCGCATGTCATTGTTAGTATTACCAAAGTGGAGCAGTCAGTTGATTGACATTGTGAATAATGGAATTCGGCATCAGGGTCAAATTCCTGAAGTTCCTCGTCCAAAAATTCCATTAGATCCAGAGCGCTTTTCACAGTGATGCATCATGCATATTCTGTTTGATGGGTCACATACCATCTTGCTGATCAAATCTTTGTATGTTATGTCCCAGTTGATTGCATCCATCAAAAGAACTTCATTCTGGTGGTGTATACAAACACATACTGAATGAGTACCATTTGAGCTGGCAAATGACACACCTTCTTGCGGCCACAGCCAAGATTGAACTCAACAATACTTTGATTGGTGTAGTTCATAGTCTTGTCAAATAGCTGAATTCTTGATGCTTCGCTAGGGCTATCAAGGGTGTTTTTATTGTGACACCAACACTAAATGGATTGCCAACCAAGGCTCAGAGAGACTCCATTCACCCTCCTCTAAGAGCAGGTTTGAATTCAGTTTTCCTTCTCCTAGACCAGTTGCCATCCAAGGCTATAGAACCCAGTCTGTCCTGCTATTTACCCATAGCTGGAGGGAGAAGAAGAGGATTCACACCTTTCCCAAGGGTGTTAGCACGTAAGTGAATGTAATAGATTCAACTGGAATTCGAACTCGGCTCTCCAATTCCTCAATCCAAGCCGCTATCCATTACTCCACCGTGCCTCCTAAATAACACACCATTTTGGGTGCAAAGAGCAAAACTTTGATAACCCTATCTTCATATCAGGATGTCTTTCTTTAAAATCAGCATATAGCTCTTTTAAGTTGCACAAAACCAGTTGTTTTTGTTTGTACTGTTTGTTCCCAATACTTATACAGTCTTTAATAACAGATAACTGCTGGCTAAAAGATTGTATCCTGTGACAATGATTTGCCTCTCTTTGGATTTGGGATTGCTAGTATACCTTTTGTTTTCTTCAAATCTCAAGCTGTATGAATGAGGTATTTAGAAACATTGAAGTAGTTAGCACAGAACGAGTGAGACCATGAATCTGGTACAAGAGTCAATGCAGTCTTCAGCTTCTTGATCATAGCTGTATGCAAGTGATCCAGTTCATCAGCTTTTGAACAATCATCATTACTTGAAGTGCATGGTTCTTCAGTAAGTTCAGTTATTTTTCCACATTGTAAGCATGCAAAAAGTATCTTTCAATTTGTTCATAATTTTAGTTAGCTTGGATTTTGCAGAGGTGCACAATTCTTAGAAATATTAGCAGAATTCTTAGAAAAAATTAGTCTATTATTAGGTAAGATGGTTAAGAGTGAATGAACTGCAACTGTATTGGTTGCAAGACCTGAAGAGAAAGGCAAAAGGCCTTGTAGCCAACACAGTTGTAGTTCCTTCACCTCTAACCCACAGAGCTGTTAGGTAGACAAACATGTCAAGAACCCCTAAAATCAAGATATTATTTCCAAAAAATTATTTCTATTCCACTCTGACAGTTATTTTGCTCCATATAGACCTTATTCAAAGCAACACTTAAAACATAAAAGTGCAAAATTTTAACTAATACTGTAGCTTCTATTCTGAGAAAAATAATAATAACCAAACTATCTTTTTTGTACAAATAATGTTTAATAGATGTAAAATAAAATAAAAAAATTGTCATAGATGCACTACCACATGGGGATTCTTTCCCCTATTGATCTTACTATGAAAAAAAAAAAAAAAAATCAGAAATCATTAATAACTTAAAATTGGTTAATTTTGAGCTTTTTTAAATACATTTTTGGATTCCTTGTGCCAATTTTTAGGAGTAAGGAAGCTCTAGAACTAATTTTACAGACAAAAATAGATTATAAAAGGTTGCAATTTTTTGTGCAACCCCAAAACTGGGGAAAACTAAAAACTGATGCAAATTGGTCAATTTTGGGGAATTAGAAGCTCAAATTTTTTAACAGTCAATACATGGACAAAATTTCAGAAAAACCGAAGAGGTAAGGGTGAAAATTTTTTTTTTTTTTTTTAGATGATTTCACTTGAAATTACACTGATTTTGCAAAAATCAAATAATTGCTGGATTTCAATTAAACTTTTAGGACTTATTCATAAATAAATTAAATTATTTTAGAAATTTTTATTTTCAAAAAAAAAAAAAAAAAATCTTGGAAATTTTTTTTTTTTTTACACACATCTGTTACCCACCACCGCTTAGTTTTATGAAATGTTGAAAAATTAAATTTTACTCCCTTGATATTCATATTAGTTAAAAGTAGAAATTCTTGGAGAATTTAAACCATCATTTTTTTTTCTAAATCTGAAATATGAAAACCATTTACTAAAAATCTGCTCTGAATTGTAAAATAATAAATGCAACAAAAACTAAGACATTATTTAATCAAAAAAGCTTTTAAAAATCATTAAGGACATTATTGCCTTAAGAAAAAAATTTTTGAGGAATAATGAATTTTTACAAAAATTATTTTCATTTTTAAAAACATTTTAATTAGAATAATAACTATATTTATTAAATCATAAATGGAAAAACTTAGTACAATTCATCAATCATCAATATTTTTAAAAGAATTTAAAATTTTTTTCTATGTGTATAAATGTGCCAATTTTTGTAGATACAGTTTTTCATACATTATCAGAAAATAAGAGTGATAACTATAGAAAATTTAAAACCAAAGTATCTAAAATTCAAGAAAATATTAGATTGCAGAGAATATTTACTGAAATTTTTAAGATTACTGAGTACTTAAAAATTATGTATAAAAAGGTGCACACATTATATTCTTCAATTATTTCTTCACAAATAACACCCCCTCCAGCCTCTCCCCTGTAGAACAACACTAGATAAACATCAATCTGTCATCTGGCTGTCAACATCAAAAATTTAAATAAACTGCTACTGCTGTGTTAAAAAATGCATTTTTACATCATATTTTAAATTTAAAACTTAACTTATTAAAAGTAAAGAATATTTGTTTCAAATCATATTAATTATACTTTAAATCAGCTAATATTCCGCAAATAAAGTTTCAGAAAAGTATATTTTATTTTTGGAAGATTTTTTAATAAAGAGAATTACATTGCAATAAACATGGGCTAAAAATGGCACTGAAATCAGAGTTTTTAGAGAAGAAAAAACTCCATCCAGTTAATTTAAATTAGTTTTGAAATAGAAAAAGGTATTTTGTTTATTGAAAATATTAAATTTAATCTATTAATTTGAATTTAAAGCTAAAACAAAAGCTTAAAGAAGAATTTTCATTTTAAAAAATTTGCTTTAAACCTTAGGTATCACGAATATGTGGAGGTACCTAATCTTACATAACAAAACTAACTGAATGAATGTTGAAAACTTCCCCTGAAATATTTTACCTAGATAAAATCTATAACTTTTCAATACAAACACAGATCAACTAATATGAAATATGCTTACTTAAGTTTTTTTGTTCCTCCCAATCCAAAAAGAAGATTTCCCAGGTAAACCAATGGAAGGGGCCAAACCTGAAAAAAAAAGTAAATGATAATAAAAACACTGGTTCAGCAGGAATGAATGATAACAGGCATAAAAGGGACAAAATAACACAATAATCAACAGATATCCCATCTCAGACAAAACAAATAATGGACAATTGAAGATGATCAGAGGGTACTTGGCCGAAATATCATTTGCATAATAACATCTATAATAACCAAGATGAGATCAGTAGATTGAAGTATATAGTCAATTACTCATCTCAAAAATGAAATCAAATAATTATTCATTAAAAAAATATTTTTAACCTTTACCTAAGATTTGCACAAGAACCTAAAAAGGTAGACATGGCTCTAGATTGCTGGAGATCACAAAAAGGTAGACATGGCTCTGGATTGCTGGAGATCACAAAAAGGTAGACATGGCTCTGGATTGCTGGAGATCACAAAAAGGTAGACATGGCTCTGGATTGCTGGAGATCACAAAAAGGTAGACATGGCTCTGGATTGCTGGAGATCACAAAAAGGTAGACATGGCTCTGGATTGCTGGAGATCACAAAAAGGTAGACATGGCTCTGGATTGCAAGAGATCGCAAAAAGGTAGACATGGCTCTGGATTGCAGGAGATTGCAAAAAGGTAGACATGGGTCTTGTTTGCATGAGAAACAAAAAAAGGTAGATATAGACCTGGCAAACTGGTAGTCTCTTTTATTTGCTATTTTAATTCAACATTGCAGAACTTGTCCCATGTGTCACCTACCTACCTTCCCACTCAGTGAAACCCTGTATAAACACTTAAATATATTATATGACAGTTCCAGCCCCCATCTCTGACTGTGGTGGTTATTTTTTTTCTTTTGTTCCCTTGTGTACTTGCAGCAGGCCATTTCCCAGTTTTTGGTGGAATAGAACACAAACAAAAATGGAAAAGCAATATGGGTTAAGCAATGGATGAGGGAGAGCCACCCTTGTATATTTACAATTAATCTTCAGATAAGCTTAACATTTTATGTTATTTTTGTTGTGTTTTTAAATTATACAACTGTGAAAAATATGAAAAAAGCAAAAATAAGAAAAACTATTCAAGACTAAATAGCACAAATTGGTTGTTTTACACAGTCAAGTTATTCTTAAAGCGAAAAAGATAAAATATCTTATACTGAATGGTAAGTCTTTGAAATTCATTAATCTGAAATGACCTTAACATGACTTACTGGTCACCACTGTTTATTTTATTCTTTTCTTGTAAACAGATGTACATGATTGTTTTTTTTTTCTGAAATTGACACAGTTTAACCTTAAGCAAGAAATAAAATTAGTCAATTGTAAATGTAATTTGAAGAACAGGTGTGACAAAATAGACATGAATCTTACTGATGAACTACTTTTGCATTTAAATTTTATCTTAATGCTTTTCCTTGATCTTGAATTGGTACATTTTTTCCAGACCATTCTGTAATTCAAAAATTGAGATTTTTATCATCAGTCAAATACTCAATCTAAAAGAAGAAAATTTGTTTAATCAGTGTAAATGGGAGAAAAAAAGAAAAAAAAAAAGAAGCTTTTGTGAGTTTAACATTTGCAAAAGAGATGTCTACACCTGAGGAAGGCACAATGTTTTAGCCAGACCTGCTCTTTTTACAGTAAAACAAGCTGGAAGAGAGTTCCACAAGCTAAAAGTGTGAAAGAAGTAGTCAGAAGTATTTGCTGTATTATAAGTTGACTGCTATTAGAGTAACAGCAGATATAGATCATTTAGGGAAATATATTCAGTGAGTAAAGTCATAATCAGATTATACAGAAAAATATAACATTCATATGTTTATCAAATAAAAATTGTATTGACGTGAACAAAGGATGGCTTTTTAGATTGGTCCAGAGGTGTCAAATTCTGATATTCTCATATAAATAAAAGAATTCTTCAGGTGTCAAAGATTAACAAATGTCTAAGCGCTCTCTTTTTTTTTTTTTTTTTTTACTAGTAACAACTTTAGGGAAAAGAAAGATGAGAAAATTGTTCTGAATTCTCAAACTGAATACATTCCCTTGTCTAATCTATATTTGCTGTTCATTTACCCACAGCAAGAACCATATTTTGCAGTGCAAACCCTTTATACCTACATGTAATGAATCAGACAAACTGTTCACTAGGTTCATTTATTTAGCATTAACCCAAAAGTAAAGTAAATATAAGAAAAAAAAATGTCATTTAATGAAATGCAAGCTTACCTTGATGAAACATTAGAGATGATTAATGAGTGCTGTGAAACATTTAGGGTTGTTTATATTCTGCACTTTTCTCTCACTTGCATATTTCTTTCTTTTCTAACCCATTTTATTTCTCTCACAACTCACTGAAGTGTCAAGACCCATAGTTTGAAAAATCCCACTAACAAAAGTCAGAACATAATAGGGCAAATGCAATCTTTCATCATCAATAAGAAAAGTTCACAAATTTAAATCGACTTAACAATTTTCTCTAAAACACTGTTTATGACAGATATAGATATATCTTTTCCAAGTGTTAGTTTTGTTAATCTCACAAGTTTACAACTGTAAGAGCATTTTTTTATGTTGGCTTCCACATTTGCAAAGGGGCAAATAAAAAAAAAAAAGAATTTCTTCTTTTCGAGCAGATAAAAAACTACCAATTCTTGAATTACAAAGCCTTATTTGAATGCTCTGAAAATAAAATGCCAATTCAAGAACAGCATTCCAATATGAAATTTAAATACAAATATAGCTCATCAGTAAAACTAGCGGCTGTTTTGTCACACCTGTTCTTCAAATTACATTTACAATTGATTCAACCTGTTGCTTGCAGAAGGTTAAACTATGCATGAATTAAAAAAATTAAAAAATAAATAAAAATAACAAGTGTGTACACATGTTCAGGAAAAAGAATAAAGCAAACTTGAAACTTCATGCCCGCAAAAAACAGGGTGCCAGTTTTTGCCTTCAGATCATTATTTTAACTGCCTTCACTCCCCTTGGCAATACTGTTTTTTTTTTGTGTTACTTTTTCTACACCCTGTATATGAATTTATTTATTTTTAAAGAAAAACCAAAACTGTTGGTGGAACAAACAGACAACTTGCCAAAAGACCTAGATATCCTTAAACAAGATAAAATCTCAAAGAGGCAGCAAAATTAAAAAACCCTAATAATGCTGGAATTTTATTTTCTTGTGAGCATTCATATTTTTTCCAGAAATGTATTGCTGGCAATATTTTTCCAATAATGTATTGCTGGTAATTTTTTCATTCTTTTGCTATAAAAATGTATTTCTATATGTTCATGTTTTGAATCCATTGTGGGTGTTCACTCTTTGCCCATAGCTGGGACCCTAACAGATCCTACTACCCCAGATCAAGTTGGCCCTGGAAGCAGCAGCAATTGAGAGGTGGTTCTATTTTTCTCAAAGCCTTGTTGCTGTATATATATATATATATATATATATATATATATATATGAACCCATTTCTGACCTTAGTGGGTGTTCACTCTTTGCCCATAGGTGGGACCCTAACAGTTTCACGTAATACCGCTCATTGGGGTTAGATTGTTTAATATATATCATTTATCAAATTTGACTCGCAAAGCTCGAGAGTCAGTCAAATGAGGTAAGCCCATTGAACATTTATTGATCATTGATGATATATTAGGTAAATTAATAACTAAGTGGAAAAATCTGTGTGACTCATTTTGTTCTTTATCAGAGTGAAGCAATATGTGTAGGAAGAGGAGGCATATGAGAATAAAAATTGACTAGGTCATTCTTGTTGGTAGGTTTTCTGTAAATCAAAAAATGAATCTCATTATTATTTCTGTGCAGCATGATATCTAGGAAGGGTAAGGTGTTGTTAGGGTCAAAAGGTCAAGTCTATTGTGAGTTCAATAATTAGTTTGTTGACAAGATTGGGTAAAATTATGTCTTGTGGATATATTCGTAGAGAATGATCTATGTATATGAAATAAGAATTTTGAGGTAAAATATTTTTAAAAGGACCACTTTCCAGAAATTCCAAAAAACAGACAAACCAAAACACTGCTGAGAGAAGATCCCATTGGTAAACCAAACTTTCTGCCTATAAAAATTGTTATCGAAGGTGAAAAACATTGATTGGTAATTAAATGGCACACTTTTATGGTTTATGTGTCGGAATAGGTAATTTAGTTTTTGTCAAGTGTGTTTTTAGTAAATTTACACATTTCTTTACAGGAACTTTTGTGTATAAAGATTTTATATCTAAACTACTCATACATTTGTTTTTGATGCTTTTTTTAATTCATTTAAAAAGATCAGAGTTTTTTTTTTTTTATATATGAGGAGCTAATTGTTTTTTTAATCATGTACATCTTTATTGCCATAATAAAATTCTGTACTGTTAACAAGATATTTAACTAATTTCAAAGTCCACTTCATCTATACAAAAGTTGCCATGTTGCTTGGTGGTTTATTCAATAGTTTTTTAGTGAATTGGTATTTTTTTTAGCTGTATGTAAATGTATTTGTCCAGTCAGGTCTGGCTAGTCTATCTGGAAAGGGTCAAAAAGACTTATACAGATACCATTTATATTATAAAATCTCATAATCCAGTGACCATCAGAATCAAGGAAATAAAAAAAAAAAAAACAGAAAAATCTTTTACCTTTTTGACTATATCAAAAGAAAATTCAGGAAATGAAACCACGCCAACTTCTTTCCCAAAAAATAAGAGAAAAATTCCAACCACCATCTAGAAAAGAAAGAAAAAATTTTTTTAAGAAATTGTTCAGCATAAAATTAAAAAATAAAATAAAAAGTAAGAAAAATGAATATGGATGAGGGGAAAAAAAAAAGAAAAGAAAAATGTTTGGGAACAAAGGAAATTTATTTGTCAATTTTTCATTTGACTAAAACAAAGATTTAATTTTAGTCTGATCACCAAAATGCAAAACTGAAAGAGATTTTGAGACCTGAATATCGTTAGGAATCGTATATACCAGGAGTGGCCAAACTGTGGCTTGTGAGCCACATGCAGCTGTTTGACCTTTAATATGTGGCTCGTGGAACATGTTGGCTGAGCCCCTTTTTTCATCGCAGTTAATATAAGAGAGAAATTCCAAGTTTTATAATAATTTTCTTGGTATGAATTGAGACCCCACTGGATCAAAATGTAAGTTTAATGTTAATGTGTATGTAACAAAAATGTATGTGCAAATTTCGTTCATGTCTTGTGGCTCTCAAACATTGTAAATTTATCATATGTGGCTCTTATATTAAACAAGTTTGGCCACTCCTGATCCCCATTACTTCCCTAAGTGGTAAGATGATCAAATTTTTAAAGTGCTTGTCTATTTAAAATTCTACATTCATTAGAAAATATATTCAGTTTAAATTCAGGAGAAGTCAAAGCAGGAGGTTAGATTTCAGCTTAAACACTTTTCCTCTTACCCAGAGGTTGTTGACATAGAGAAAAAGGAGACAGTGGCCATCTTAACACAGAGGTCCATTTGAATTTTGTTCAAACTATGTACATATAGATGTTTGCGTATATTTTAATCCAATGACAGACTTAAAAATATTTCCGGTTGGTCTTCCGTACTTTATAATTACAGCCCGATTATAAACACAAAATTACATTTCTTAATTACTGCGGGTCTTCTGATTAGTCAAAATGATACAATTTACAATGCGCTAAAAAAAGATCTCATAAGGAACTTATGAAAGCAGATGCGGCTTTTAACTAATTTTATAATATTTTAACAACTTAAATGTAAAAATCTATTAGTTATGGGTGGGGTGTAATATAAAAAAAAAAATTATTCTGATTTTAATAAAGAAAAAAACATTTATAATAATTTCAATCATCTGTGAATAGTTTCTGAAAGTTTCATTAACATCAGATAATTATTTTTATTTTTGCAAGATTTTCCAAATTAATGTGTGTCATACAAAAAAAACGTGCTAAAAATTGTATGGTATTTTACTAGTTCCGGTGATACAAAGAGAAACAAGGATTTTTAATCAAAATTTAGAATGTTCTAAAAAGAAGGAAAAATTTTCCAAAATAATTAAAATAAACTTTGATCTTTCCTCTCCATAACGACATGAACATTTAGATGATAAAATTTTGTTTTCGTCAAGTTGGGTGTCTTTTTCATCATGCTATGCTTGTTTTTTAGCGATCTCGTGGAGGTACCTAGCTAAAGGTAACCCTAAGTCCTATGCTAACAGTTTCTTCTCTCACACTTCTCACTTGTGGAATTCTCTTCCAACATCTTGCTTTCCCACCAACTTTGACGTTCAAAAATTTAAATGCAATGTCAATTGTTACTGTCTTCTTAATTCCTGTTCTTTTATTGTTCTCTCTCCTTAATCTTTTCTTTTTCTCATATTCTCTCACACTCATTAACCCCTTGTGTTTTAGTGGCTTTATTGCCTTGCTTGGGATGAAATGACAAAAAATGTATTTGCATGACAACCATTACTTTGTGCATCCCCCCCCCCCCAAGATCTTTCCCATCTGTCAACACCCCGGTGACCACAACCCTGACTTTCATTTAGGTGTGGTTACTAACCACTCAATAAGAATAAGCAATTGGATTGTTTGCCTTCAACTCTATGTTGTATTTATTTTTGTTAAGTGGCTTTAGTTGGTCAGAGTGACAATATTTACACTTTAATGGTTCATATGTTACACTTGGTTTTTATTTTTTCTTGAGTCCTTCTGGAGGAGACAAAGTTGAGTGTGTCAAATGAGGTGGGAGGGAGAGAGACGAGAGACAAACTGATGTTTTACTGCTATATATTTTTCTCCAGGACATGAGGATCATGGCTCTCCACAATTTTCTGTCCTTTATAGCTCTTAGTAAAAGTTGTCTTTTTGCTATCAATCCCAATCCCTGTTTTGCCAAACCTTTATGCTAGCTCATTTGCTAGGTTATTCACTGATTTCCTCTGTACCTCTTGTCATGTCCTGCAAGTGTCAAATTTTCTATGCCCTCTTTCCTCTTTACGTGCCCTAGAAATTTCAACTGATTCTAAAAAGAAATGTTCTTTTTGTTTTCATTTTCCTTTGTACTTCCTCATTGCTTACACATTCAGTCTATGGTATTCCCAGCATTCTTCTGTAGAACCACACCACTGTTGCTTAAAGTCTCTTCTTCATCTATGAAGAGATTGTCCAGCATTCACTGCCATACAAGAGGACTGATATTATATAATGGTTAAGTACTATTTTCTTTGTTTCTAACAAGATTTTCCTGTTTCTTAATACTTTGCTTAGTGTTTGGAAGGCATCTTTTTTCAATCCCAATACTGCTTCATATTTTGGTGTCACATTTTCTGTTATCTGGTAAAGTACTTCCTAGATATTAAAATTTTTGTATGTGCTTGATATTAGCATCTACAATTTGTAATTTGCATATTGGGCTCTTCTTTTTGCTGACAACCCTACATTCTGTCTGCTTATAACTGATATTTACTGCTACATCACAAATGCCACATGACTGTCCAAGAGACACCAAAATGATACATAACCATTTTTTTTTTTCATGGTCAAACTCCTGCATTTTCTGCTACAGTTGGAAAATACTGCAAATTAACTGGAAAAGACCATTGTGGTATGGCTGGTTATCTAACAGGAAACAATGTTTTCTACATCCTGATGTCTCTTGGACAGGTGTAGAGATTTTGTGATAAGAAATAAAAAAAATAAAAAAATTCCCATGATTCCATAATAAAAAAAAAAAAAAAAAAAAAAAAAGGAAACTGCCCTACTGGCAAGAAATTTAGAGACTTTCTCTTTTTTATCAGTCCCTCACAAAGAGAGAACGTGGATTTGAGCAGCCCCAGGAATGAAAACCACTGATAAGTTTTACCCAAATATCACTTTCTCATGTTTAATATTATCTTTTAATGATAGACATATCACTTGCAAATAATTCATTCATAGAGACAAATACAAAAATCAGAAACATTTACTAGCAACCACATTACAAGAACATTCTACTGAATTAGTACAACCAAATCCTTCTGATGATAAATCCTTCAATATATGTAAAATTTCTCACTTTGTTGTTATGATGTATATGTTATATTTTACTAACCAAAAACAGGAGTCAAACAAGGCTCATCATAAAGTGGTGACCATGACATGAGCTTACATACATGCACAGAAAAAAAATAAACCTTGAGGCAACACAAAAAAATAAAATATAAGAAAACAAGAATTGGTAAACTTGACCAAAAGCGATTTTATATGTATTTGTATATATAGAAAAAATATATAAACAAAAAACTAAACAGCCAGGAACAAGAGACAACAAGCCCAAGTACTTATAACCATGGTAATGCTATACAAGTCTTCAAATATCTCATTTGGACTCATTACATACAGGAACTAACCAAAGAGATATTACCTTACAGTTCTTCCAGAATTTACATATTTAAACAAAATAATGGAACAGAAAGACAACACCTCCATTTAACAAATCAGTATCAAGATGCATGACTTTATAGAAACAGCCATTAATGGCTGGTTTTCATTAGTCAAGGCACAATTCCACTTAAGTATTATTACAGCTTCTATAACAAAATTTTATACTGTCATTGCATAACTGCCTGCAGAAATATTAACAAAAATTGCTGCCACAGTGTTAGAGTCACAGAATTATGGTGAATTAAAAAAAAAAAAACTTGTAGAAGCACATGAAAGAATGAAGTCTGAACTGCTAGATAAGTTAATGTCCACAACAACCATTAGAGGACAATCATTAAATTACCTCCAGGAAATGATGGCAATAGCTAAGAGGTTAAATATAGGACAAGATATGCTGCTTAAATTTATACAAGAATTTCCATCAACTATATTTCCAGTAATAGTGTCACAGAAAGATTTAATGCCTAACACCTAGGACAATTAGCCGATGAATTAATACCTCTTATCCACAATAATACCTAAGTGTATATGACAGACTGCTACGCCGCTGCAAAATAAAGCATAAGACAACAGAGCCAGCAGATCACACACCAACTACATACTGAATGGACTTCAACCTTTCGCTGAAACTAAAAAACCTAAAAAATGCTGTCCGCATACTTAATTTGCAGGTAAAGTTTGAACATGTAAGCTAATTCGGCTAATTGTCCTAGGTGTTAGGCATTAAATCTTTCTGTGACGCTATTACTGGAAATATAGTTGATGGAAATTCTTGTATAAATTTAAGCAGATATCTTGTCCTATATTTAACTTCTTAGCTATTGCCATCATTTCCTGGAGGTAAGCCATGGTGCAGATGGCCAAACAATAATGTAAAAATGTTACCAAATTCATGACCACAATCACTAGCTAACAGAAACTCGGAAAATTAGTGGAGGCGAACTTGGTCAGCCTCTTCAGGTTTGCCACTACTAGAGATACAGACAAAAATAGGGGCAACTAAAATAGCATTTATTGTCAACACAGGTGCAAGCTTTTCCATCATCCCTTTCAGGATAATTAATGGGATATTTCTAGAATAAACATCAGTAACATTATCAACAGCTAACAGTGTGAACATTAGATGTTACAGGCAAACTAAATTTGACATTGGAATTCCAAGCCTTAGAAGATCATCCTGAACTTTTGTAATAGCCAATGTCAATAATCCCCTACTTGGATTTGATTTTCTGAACAACTTCTGACTCCTTATCAAAAAAAAGTAAGGAAAAGAGAATAATAAATCATACGACTTTGTGCACAAAAGCAGATAA